GAGATAGTCGAGTCTTGAATTTGGAAAGTTAGTACGATTTTTAAAAAGGTAAGGCAACTGAGAGTGTACATGGTGAACATCTAACTCAACAGTCTTACATGTGATTGGTCAGATTGGTGTTGATGAGTGTTAGTGGCTTCTTATGAGTCTAAGAGGCGGTTTGGGAGCTCGAGCCCAGCTAGTACGCGCCTAGTGTTAGACTTTAGTCCTAACTTTAGTCCCCGGACAAGAAACCAGGCTTGGGAGCTCGCACCTAAGTTGAAATGGTCGTAGATCAAGTATAGTCGCGCCTAAGTTGCAGCGCAGCTAGATGGACAGGGAATCGCGGGGAATTCAGGTTTTGACGTTGGCAACGGCCACTGCAGAGCACGTTACCGTTGACAACAACAAACGATGAACAATAATTGCAGATGGATACAATTTCATCTTGGTATATCAACGGTGGCTAATTAGTAGACTATGGTGTAAGTTTCTGCATTTTACCATTGCAAAAATGTAGTTTTGTAAGGTCGTTGATTTACATCTCAATGACGTCTATGTTTTATCTATGGTACTACACCTTATAAATACGTACAGAGACAAACATAGGCTTTTGAAAATCAATATGATTTCTTTCAGAGATCAAAACCATTAGGTAATCATTTTATTTAACAAAGATTACCTAGTGTGTGGAACGGTAACATCTGAAACTCGGTTTAATGCAATAAAAAGCTTCAAAATTAAACAGCAATTGCCCTGTATAATATATGGGTATTGACGGAAATAAAAAATAAAAAGTATTTTAAGTAATTGCGGAGGTTATGATTGTGTGAAGCAAAGGTATATCTTTTAATACTTACAAAAAAATTGTTGTCAATTTAAAAAAAAATTTAAAATGACACTCTTTTATCTAATTTTCCTATAGGGAAGTAGCTATTACCGTAGGTAGCACTTAGTTCCGGCACCGATATACTTTTCCATTTTGATGTCCCTAGAGGCCAAAAACACTATTCGTTTAAATATTTATATATGTATAGCCAATATATTATATATACTGATTTGATAAAATTTTGCATTAAAGTGTAAGGTGCGATAAACCTTAATAAGTTCGTGAACCAGCATGATCAGACCATGGGAACCCAGGGTTTTATGGGATAAAAATAGTTTTTTTTCTCAATTTTAACCCCTAAAACATAAATCCTTATCTTTAAAATATTTTAAAGAGTATAAAAAACAAATTAGTATCTTAAAATGTTTTGTACGGTTATTGGCTACAGAGATTATTCAAAAAATCGTAAATTTAAAATTCCCATGTGATTAAGTGATTCTCGTGGAGAATAAGTTAACTGTTGTAGTTTGGTCGTTTATGGATATACGAGTATTTTGATGAAACCTGACAAATTTATTTATTTTATATAAAGCTGTTAATATTTCGGTAAAAAACACAATTTATTGCCCTCCCTGTAGCAGCATACCTACATGTAGGTAGTTTTAGTTACTTGTTAAACCTAAAGCTATTTAAATAAATTGCATTGAAAGTCCTATTAGGTTATTGAATATTCGCTTAGTCAGTAGGTTTTCTGTGGTGGGTATGATTGATCGCATACTGTATATACTTTCTTATACTCCAAATAATCTAAGTACTCCATTTTGATGTAACTAGCACTTGGTCAATGACACTGAACTGAGCTCAATCACAACGCAATAAAAATTTAACGATTATGACTGTGAGCTATTTGCAGTTTTTTTATGTTTTGTTTATTATCTCTTCACTCTTTCGTAGGGGGTGAGTGGGGGGGTTTGTATGCGGTCGCTAATTTTTTCTTAGCTAATATAATATTTATTATTAAGGTACGGGTGCTTATAACCAAACTCTCAGTTGAAATAAATTCTATTTAGGGTCCACTTTTTATTGCAGTTAACAGTAAAAACAAAAAACAAATAAAATTTCGTTAAATTTAGCTTTCTGCAAGATGTTTTTTAATTTTGAACAACAGAAACCTAAAAAAAAACTTTTATCAAATATACTTTGAGAGTAATGAAATTGTTCGGAATTTAATAACGAATTCCATTATAACATTCTTTTTGTTAATATGTAAACAATTAACTTGCTAATGAGGTAATACCGGCATGATGTCGACTTAGACCTGCCCCCTGGCACGACTTAAGTTGGGGACTAAACTCACTAATTGTTATGACGAAAATATATTACTTAGTCCCGAAATTGGTCTCCCAAACCCACCGAGACTATCTCTTAGGCTGGCGCCTAAGTCTACTTGACTCCCAAACCAACAATATTTAGGCACGAGATTATCCCTGCACAAGTTAGGCGCGCGCCTAACTGATCCCTATAGTCGCGGACTAGCGCTAATACCGAGCTCCCAAACCGCCTCTAAGTGTTCAAAAAATTAAATGTGCCTAAAAGCTTTATTTGAGTACACTGTAATGATAATGATAATGATAATGTTAATCCTTATATATAATACGTGAAGGCGATTTCTTGAAAACACTACTCCTCCGTTAATAATGGACGGATTTTTACAAACGACGTGTCAAAATAAAGTATTTTTTGTGTAGACGCCCCCTTTCACCAATTCATGTAATAAAAATCCTCGGGCTTTGCCCCACAGGCCATCAAAGTTGGATTTTCTCCCATAAGATTAACATGGGGGAATTTAAATATTTAATTGGAAACTTTGTCCCCACTAATTTGAGAGAATGGCTGGGCGTAGAAACTTGGTAGAGGTGTCCAAAGAAAGGTCTTGGTCTGTAGATGAGATATCAAAAGAAAAACTAAGCAAAATCCCTTAGGGCTCTGCCCCAGAAGCCTTTAAAGATCCCTCCACAGAGTTGTTTACATTTTGGCCATGTGAATAATACTTTTTAATAAAACAGCTGTTCATTTTTAAATTGTATTTCAAACCACACATATTTATTGGGTTACTGAATTGTACCAAATAAGTATTTGCAATGTTATTTTATGATTTTAAAATTAATTTTCCTCTTTATCATGTCATGTTTTGCAATATAACGTTCTATTACGAAATCAGTGGAAAATCCTTTGATAACAGAAATTCTTAAATTATTTCTTATTGAACTATCTTATATCTATTGTACGGGTTGGTGTCTGCCTTTTTCACCACTTTTGCCTAAATTTTATCATATTATTCTACACATATCAAATATTCATGTAGAAATATCTGCTCTTATCGTGTCTAATAAAATCCAAACATAGAAACATTGCCTAAAATGGTACCCATCTTGACAAATTATTTGCACCTGCCTATATTACGGACTTTGGCGCACTGGGTTGGTAACATTATTGAAAATAACACGACATTTTGGCTGTAAAATATGGTACAAAGAGAAAATACTATTTTAGCAGCTACTGTCATGACAGAAAGGTCATATTCCTTTTAAACTAGACCTCATAATCCTTTATAAGATACGTTGATTTACAATATGTAAACGTCAATATATACGCAACAGCCAATTTACAGTATTTTTTCTTTTTGGAAATGTCCCATTGCTATGTCATTTGCATTATTTGTTGCCAATGAAGCCGCAAGACCATATAAACTAGGAGGTCCCTAACAGTTTAAGAATAAAAGCCAACTTCACTTCAAGTATTCCACTACACCTATCATTCCGTAGAGAGATTATATTGACAACTTTATGTTATTGATAAGGCTGAGACAACTAACTGACATCCCCCATGTCAAGGAATTCCAGCTTTAACAGTAACCCCACAATAAATTTCTCATAACTATGCTAGAGGGTTCATTCATTGGCACAGAAGTACGATATGAACTGACGCGACGTGACGAAGGAAAAATGAAACTTAGGTACACTGTAACGGACATACCTCCCTTTGAAGTTAGAACATTTCTTCCCAAAAAATATTTTCATTTCAAATAAAATCATATTACACTGATGAAATCACAGAAGTGTTTAACTACAAAAGACCCACCAATACGATTTTAATACTATTTAAAGGTTCTTCCAAAGGAAGAGATATCATATAACATACTAATAATAACTCCGATGAGTCAAATGACGTACGGTATGGGAAATATTTTAATAATTGAATGATCAACCAAATTTGGCAACTAACGCAATTAAAATCATTATTGTTTTCACACTTACTACCCTTTAAACAATGCTAAATGCTCAAAATATGTATATTTCACCCAATTTATCGCAGTTAGATGAATTAACGTAACCCTTGAAAGTAACCGTCGATTTCGACGGGTTTCCCCTAGTATCACTTTATTGCCATAAAACATTTCACATTTCCAGCAAAGATGGTGAAACAGATGACATTGTTGTTTCTTAGCTAACAAAAATTAAAATTAAAACTAAGGATTAAAATTAAACTTGTCACTTTTTTAAAAACAGTCATTTAAATACTCATCTATTTTATAATATTTCTTTTTTATAAGGAATGTTTTTAATTCTTTCTTAAACTTTACAATGCTATTGATATTTTTTAAATGAGCAGGTAGACCGTTGTAAAGCCTCAGACTCATATAGTACGGCGATCTTTCATACAGGCATAGCCGATGTCTTGGATACTGCAAATTTTTTTGTTGAAAGTTTTGGGTATTGATGAATAAATTGATTGTTTATAAATAATTGTGCATTGCTCTTGAAGTATACCAGAAGTGAAGGCATTGTTAACATTCCATATGTTTCAAAAAGCGGTTAGTGTACAGTGTACAACCTCTTCTGTAAAAATAGCACTGGTGTCGACATAAAGAAAAAAAAAAACATACGGGAAACCCTGGCCAGAGCAATTAGAATGAAGTTTCATTTAAGGAAGTTTCATATTGCTGTTCATTCCTGTACAGTCCTGTTGACTGTGGCAACTTGTGCCACTTCTCTTTAAGTTCTTGCTTACTGGGAGCATATACTTCTTGTCGGCTGCGGATATCACATTTTAACTTTTATATTTATGTTTTCAAATAATTTGTTGCCATATATTTGTAGATTACTTTATAATTAAAATACAATGGACCTACCTAGAATCTTTGGCGTAGTACTTATATGGGACTATTCCTTTTTCTACATCTATAAAACATACACTATTTCCACCGCAAGTTGCTACTATAGATGTAGTTTTCCTTCTATCATTGCAATCTGGCTGAAAAGCACACTGCCACACCTAAGACAAACAAAAAGACAAAGAAATGTTTAATAAAATATGAAACATTTATCCACAGTAACCATGCTATTAGGGACGAACATTTTAATCTGTACATTGTTATATAGGCATAAGTAGGAAAATTTCAAGACGTATTGCACTTTGTAGCCCTGGAACTGGTAACGAAATATTTAGAAATAGGTTCACGAGCTCATAATTCCATAGTCTGTGGTTTTTCGATAATCGTGGACTATGATGTAGGTAACTGACAGCTGAAAAGTGGCTTCAAGAGACAGAGCGAAAATTGTCGAAGTGGCACTGACATTTCTGGAAGAGTATTACAATAGTGGAAACGTTATTGACATTATCATAACTGGTGACGAGACTTGGATGAAGTATGGTAACTGTGAAACAAAACAGCAATCAGTGGAATGGGCTCACATATTTTTATTTCCTTTTTTTCCCTCTATTTTGTCAAAATTGTGGGTCACATACATTTCCTGAGAAACCGATGCAGATGCTAGCAGCAAGAAAAATCATAGCTGTGTTTTGGGACGCTCAGGTAGTGGTTTTCGTATATATTTTTTGAACCTAGACAAACAATCGACTCAGAGAGGTATTGCGAAACACTTAGAAAATTAAGACGTGCAATCCATAACAAGTGTTGTGGAATCTTAATGAAAGAAGTTTTTGATTTTCACGACAAAACACTACGTCTACACATGGCCAATTGCACTCAAGCGCTCTTGATGGTTTTGGATGGCAAATTTTAAATTATCTGGATTTGGCACCAAGCAAAAAATATCATCTGTTTCCAGAGATGAAGACGTGGCTTGCTATGCTACGCTTTGACACTGACGCTGAACTCCATGCTGGTGTCAGCCAGTGGTTGAATCGCGGCGGCAGATTTCTACAAATAGGGCATTTAAAAATGAAAAGCTCCTACCACGCTATGATAAATTCCTTAGCCTAATTTAAATGGTAATTATGTAGAACAATATTGTATTAGAGTTTCCCTTCAAAATGTATAGGGTAATAAAAATTGTTGTTTTTTTTTAAATAGGCCTAGTTATCTGAAAAAGTTAAAACTAAAACTTTTAAGACTTAGATGGTAGTAACATGCAAATTTAGGCACATCCAGGGTTAGGCCTAATATTTTGAATTATGATGTGCTAAAAAATTTTTGAAACACCTGTTTACATATAGATTTAAAATGGTAGCCTACAGGAATCGTTAGCCGATTGTTTACTGTCAAATCATTTACTGACTGTACTGTATGGAAACAAAACTCTAAAAAAACAAACTCAAACTGATTTAAGTTAAATGGAAATCAACTTACAACTGAGTTTCGGCTGATTATTTTTATTTTTTTTTTAGAATGACAAATCTAGGATAGCCTACAGTAAATACCATGACAGAAGAAATTTTACTCACTTGTGTTTGAACATCTGAACTATCATTCTTCTTAGAGTGACACCTGAGAAAATGTTTTGGGTCATAGTCAATAATTGATTTCTTGGTGGTATCTTGGTCTGATTCATTCACTTGGTCTTGGGTAATGGTCCCCATTCTGAAATTTAAAAATAAAAAATATATATAAAATAATAGCTAAGCAAAGGCAGATTTATGTGTAACAAATATAAGATTTTCAGGTCTTAACTGGATACAAACAGTAAAATTCATAATAATTAATCTTAGGCCCATGATTAAATAATTTATAAATAAAAAACTTTTAAAAAATACCACGTTTTTAAACACACTAAAAAGTAGAAAATAATAAATATGGAGAGAATAAATACTTGTAAGATTTCAAACAAAAAACTTGGAGCGCATGCAATAGCTAATTTTCTTCACCTATTGAATTATTTAGCTATTTTTAACCTCAACTAGGCTCATTTCATTCACCGCGTCACACCGCAGCGGTCACTGACCGATGCACAAATGTGTCATGCAGCAAGCCGCTGTGGACCGCTGTCATGCGGAGGGTGTAACAGTGCTTCGAACCACATTGCCAACCAGATTACAGTAAAAAAGTGCCATAGGAGTTGGAAAGTGCATCATATAAATCAAGTTTGACATGTAGATGGTGCTTTAAAGGCTAGTACTCACTAGGACACCCGGTCGCTTATCAACCGGCGACCTGGTTGACGAGTGACTAAGTTGATGATTGAACGTTTTATTGCTGGGTGGTACACACTAGGATACCTAGCACTTTCAACCAAGCTGGAAATCAATCAAAATTTGGTGGGGATAGACAATTTGTTTTGTTCTGGTTCACGCTTAAGCCTATCAAAGTGTGAACCTCAATGACAACACCATGCCCCCGACGGAGAGGAAGTAGCTGCCGAAGTTTTGATTATATTAAAAACTGTGGGAAGTAGAGAAGAAGAAAGAAATTGTTTAGAAGATTTTGGGTTAAAGGGTGGCTTTAAAGTAGAAATAGTTACAGCCAGCCACATCGGCACTCCTACGAGCTTTTCGACTTAAAATCCTCAAGATTTTAAGAACTATTTACTTATGTCAGATGACAGTTTCCGTCATACTAAGCAACCAGTGACACCCTGTGACACCTCACATAGAAAAAAAGGACGTCAGATTGAGATTTTAGCATGGTTTTGTTTCGTCAGTTCATTTTTCGTTGTACTGCGCATGGGCTAGCCGTCTTTAGTTGATCAACTTGGTCGCTAAAGCGTACACACTCTAGTTTTTTGAGAAATCTGATTGCCTGGCGATAAAATGGTTGATCGGAAACCCCCAGGTTTTCGATACATGTCCGAAAACCAAAAAGTTGCCTGGCAACCTACAAATCGCTGTCAACCAAATTGACAGACACGTACACACACGGCGATATTTGTGCAATTTGGTCGCTCGTCAACCAGATCGCCGGTTGATAAGCGACCGGGTGTCCTAGTGAGTACTAGCCTTTAGAAACCTCTATGGAAAGTTATGAGAAGACTGTGACAAGCTTTTATAAAATTATTTTCTAATGTCGGTGCCCCCATTTGATGAACTTGCTTTGAATTTTCTACACACCATGACTACAAGACCTGAAATACTCGAAGGATACGAAATCATACTGTCTGGTAAACCAGAGAGCTTCTGCTAGGTACGACACGACCAAACAACTACAATGCGCACAGCTGAATAACAAGACCACGTAGCCTATAGTGACACTTAAGGTGACATGGGTTGGCAGCAATGCAAGAGTGACGGCAGGCTGCCGTCAGTGGCGTAGCCAGGATTTCAGTTCGGGGGGTTTGGGGGTATGGAATACCCCCCAATCCAAAGGGGGGTCCAGGGTGATTTAAGGCCAAATAAGCAATAAGTTCTATCTCGCAAATCACTCAACTATTTTAACATACTTTTATATACAGCATCTTTTTATTCTATCGGCCTACACATTTTTTTTTGTTTTAATGCATATTAACTTTTATAGGCCTACATACAATTTTCTATTTTCAATTAGCCTACGTATTAACACCAATCCAACTTATCTGTTCTTAAATTTTGAACCCTTTTTAAACATTTGGAATATTTTGTTCACTATTAAAACATATTAGCCCTTTAAAAAAAGGTGTTTTCCTGTTTTTATATCATTTCCATTTAAACATTTACAAATAGAAGAAAGTCAAATTAATAATTTAAAGGAAGGTGTATAGCACGCTTTTAACCATTGGCATTGCATAGCATGTTATTTTGCTTCAGGAAATACTAAGGAAAATTAATAAATGCTAATTAATTAAATCCAAATTTATTAAACCAAGAAAGGGTTTGAATACTTTGCAGGTGATTACATGTTTACAACAAAAGTTTTCGCTTTGTTTTCTTAGCCATTTCATCAAGGACTTGGTCAGTCAGAGAACTGCACTGGGTAGTGTAGACATCAGAGCTAGTCTGTTGAGACGTTCACTTTCCATTGAGTTTCGTAGGTAGGTTTTGATCCTTTTAAGGCTAGAAAAGGACCTCTCTACTTCACAAGTTGAAACTGGCAGTATCACTAACACTTGTAGCAAATAGTTTATTTGAGTAAAGAAGTTTGCATCACATGCATCCAACGCTGCCATGAAGCTTTGGGGAATTTGTCTTTCGGGGTAGTAGACCATTCATGGCACCATAACAAATATTCACTTTCAAGAGCATTTTGTGAAGCCTTTTCATTGTAAAACAATTCCAGGGATTTCAGTTTTTTTACCTCAGCTGGGTTGGCGTGCTTCGGTAACAAAATGTCGAAAGCTTCTAGAACACTTCTGTTTTTGGAAAATCTGTCTTGAAGTCCCTGAATCAAAGCATCTAGACAGGGATGAAATGCTGTTCTGCGATAATATTCTTCTGGTAATATCTCTTTTAGTTCGTTTAGGCGCTTGTCGAGGAACTCCAATTGTTGTACTAAAAACCTCTTGCATCGTATATTCAGCTTTTTTAAACAGATCAGAGAACTCTTTGAAAATGTGACTCCCAGGCTCATTTTCCTTCTCTTTACCCTTGCGTATGTCTTTAAAAAGGGAAAGTATATTGTCTGCATATCTTAGAGCTGATGACAGTTCAATATCAATCTTTTGGAGATATCTAGCTAGTGGGAGAGTTTTATCAAAGACAAACTCGCAAACATAGAGTCCCACGACAAATCCACCCTTTTCTATCGCAGAAAGAAGAGTTGACGCAGTAGAAGACACAGTTCGTCCACTTGAAGACAACTCTTCCAAACTCTCAACAATTGCCGGGAAAAGTTCAATGAAGTCAGTAACTGCAATTTGACGTTCAATGAATCGTGTTTGACATAAACCTGTCAGACGAGTTTTCTTGGATGCAGGTAGCAGACTTGATGTTTTTTCTTTGAGCAAATCATTAGCTTGAGCGCTGTTTGTGAAGAGATTTGTTATTTCTCCAACTACACCTAAGCAGTTTCTTATGACAGGCGCGTTTGTGGATTGACTTAGGATAGGACCAGATTTAATCTGTGTGACGCACAGTGAACGTAGATAGCCTTAGGGTATAGTTCTTAGATTCTTTCATGTACACCACTAATGTGTCCACTAAAGGTTGAACAACCATCATACCCTTGGCCAACCATTTTTTCCCATATTCACAGTCTCAGTCACGGCTTTGAACGAAATGTCCCGAGCTCTCTCGCACGACCGAATTCTTATGTCTGCCTTCTACAGTATTTCTAGTATTTAGTTTCTAGTCCGGTGCGTCATTACCAATTAAGAAACAATGGAAAACATCTAGTATTTTACCATCGTTTTATTTTAACATCGTTGAAAGGTATTATGTGGACGCCAGACTATAGGCCTACTATTAAAGCAGCTGAGTTGATTGTTGGTATTGCAATTACAAACAGTATAACACAAGTTTATGTTTCTCGAAATGTTTAATACAAAAAATAAAATTTATTTCTTACATTTCGGGGGGGGGGGGGGGGGAAGGGGTTCCCGACCCCCCGGACCCCCCCTCTACCTACGCCACTGGCTGCGTATTGTGATGGAAAATGTCCGCAATAAACCTTAGAACAACATCTTGAGAATATTTAAATGTTAATTGGGTAAAAATGGAAATTCAACTTTCCTTATGGAGATTTAACAAGGGGCTAATTATCTAGGCCTATATATTAATAGACAAGCATGTTTATTGAAAACCTTTTTTTCAGCTCCTGTGCATTGCAGGGGAAATCTACGCATAGGCATGCTGTAGGAAAAATATTTTCCTGTAGATGTGCAGAATCCCTTTTTAAATTAAAATAAGCTCAGAAATAATCACAAAAAATTAATTTAAAACTTTAAAGACAAATTTTATTAAGTTATTTGTCTAACTTTAACTAGGTAGGTAAGTAACATATATCTGAAGTGATCAAATAAGCCTATTATTCAGTTTTAAAATCCTAGACTACTAAGTTAGACAGGTGATATGTTTCTAGCTCTTTTAGAAACAGGTTGTAAGTTAAACTTAGGCCTGATCTAAGTATACTAATTAGATTAAGTAATTAATACGCCGACTAACCACCCGGTACTTTTTGAAAGTTAGTTGACCAAGGTGCGAATTCAGTATTTAAGACAAAAAATGAGAAGAGACGAGTCGACGATTCCATGGCCATGTCACCTATAGCATAGCGATATGTGGACACGCAATATATTCTAGCTCTCAGGACATATTCCTCCTACAGAAGAAGGCCGTAAGAATTGTAACATCCTCAGACAACAATGAACACTGCAGGCCTCTCTTCATGGAGTTAGGAATGCTAACAGTGCACAGTCAAGATGTCCTAAGCAGTACTCCTTAAAGACAACCTCCACCGTTTTGTAATGAGGGTACGCCAGCATAGCTATAACACTCGCAAGGCAGAAGAGCTGGATCTTCCACGGTGTTGTAAGAGCTACTCTCTTAAAAGCTAACCCTAGCTCAACAATAAAATCTTTAATATGCTGCCAAAAAGAGTAAGAGAGCTGAATAGTGTGAAGTTCAGGGCGGGCAGTACTGCACGGTCATCTGGTTACTAGACCCCTCTACTTATTAGAGGAATTTAAAGGAAGCGTCACTGAAAGTCAGCAGTAGGTTAGGACAGGATATCAAAATCGCCATGGCCCAATCTTCTTGAAAGAAGAATGTAAATATTAGTTTTAAACATGTAAATAGTTATGTTAGTGTGCCTCTGACGCAATCTATCCCACATCGTTAATAAAGGATTAAGGACACGTTTCAAGTAGGGCCTTAGTGTTGAGTGACCGAGTTAGCCTAGCTTGCTTTGTTAGGTATAACAAATAAGATCAGCTGTCTCTTTAGCCACGTCCAGTTTACTTATTAAGATAAAAAGCCTAATGATCGAGGACAGCTGGGTTCAGTTTTGGACCATTAAAAAGTGACTTTACTCAGGATAGAGTTGCCAATGTTCTGATTAGGCCAATATTTAATTAAAAATTAGCCAACAAACCATATCCCACAACACTTCATGAAAAGGTTAATAGCCTACCACCAAGAAGAAATCCGTCTTTAAGACGGGCAGACTCTTAAGACACAGATTATAGCTAAGTACCTGACTTTTTAATAACCAAAAATGTTTAATATAGGCCTAGCCTAACTTATTTATTTAATATATTAAATTTAACCCTTTCAGTGCTATTTAAGCAACGATATATCATTGTGTGTCTTTTATGGAACGATATATCGTTGTTCGCATTTCATCCAGAAAGTGCCAAACGACAATATCTCATGCCCGTGCGACTTTCGACCGTGTGAGTTTAAATGAGCATATCTGTTGACTCGGTTGTTGTTTCAAAACAGCGATGGTTTCTTTCGATTTCTCATACGATCGAGGCCCAATAAGTTGTATTGTTCCCTAGCACTTTTGAGATATAAAATTTTATTTTTACCAATATTTACTCACACACTAGACTTTGCCCTTGTGGCAAGCCTAGGCCTAGCACTTTTCGGACGAATTAAGTAGGCCTAACTTTTAAATAACTCAATAGCATTTATTGGAAAATGACAATAAATTCTAGCATCAAAAGGGTTAAAAAATTAAGGTATGACATTATGTTATGGGGCCTAGCTTGGCTAATTAATTTAGGGTTAGTTTAAGCAGGTCAGTTCTAGGTTTAAGTTATCATGTTAAGTTAGGATATAACTATAGGCCTAGAAATGTATGTCTTAGTTTTAATTTATACTTCTAGAGTTTAACCATTATAGAACTATGCTGACATAACTTAAGTCTATGTTACTGTTAAGTTACATTAAGTTAGATTAGAACATAAAGTGTCAAGAGCCAAAAATGATGTTGATGAACCAAACAAAATAAAGGCAAAGGCCTAAGTTTAGTCTGAGCCCATTACAAGTTGAATAAAAATCATCCCCATTTTTAGGCAATTTAATATGAAAAAAACTGTTTTTAGTTAGGAAAGGTTTAAGTTTAAGCATGTGACATGAAAAGGTTAATATACAAATGCGTGAATCATACTGTTATTTTCATGGGACAAGCTATCATTTTTTATCAATCATTTGCATTCAAATTAATTCTTACTTTTCGAGTGTGGACTGCAATTGTGGAGAACTGGAGAAGCTTTTCTGCAAACCGGCAAACTGACCAAACTGCAAAGCAAAATAACTAGAACTAGGCTAGGTCTCTTGATTAAAACTTAAAAACTAAATGCAAATTATTGCAAAATGCTTAATAAACAAATTATTTTATTTTACTTCGGTCGGTTCGGTCAGCTAAAATCGCGGGAAAGCAAAGTTCCAGGGTTGGTTAAAGAGAGTAATAAATAAGACTCTGACCCAGACTCTAACCTCTCGAGACCGAGACCCTCTGGAACCATTGATTATATATCTTTATTATTGTAAAGAGAAGAGGGCCAAGAACTGATATTTTTTAGGCATGCCCCGCGTGATTGTTCCATTGGTCCCGTGGCCTTCGAAGTGGTAACGTCACAAGTGGTGTTGTAACAGCAGTTTTGTTTGGAAGCATCTAATGATATTTGTGTATTTACGAAAGCTTGGTTACTGGACTATGAAAATGTTGACTCCGCTTAAAATGTACAGACAAGGCCAACTAGAAAAACCAGAAAGTTTTTTCTAGTGGGGCCTTAGTACAGATCTAGATTTTTAATTCATATTGTTTCGGTTTTCAATTCTGTATGTTTTATTTTCAATATTTTAATAAATTTATGTTCATAAATAAATTAAAATCAATAAAGTGTGAATTAATAAGCTGATGTCACCTGTCTGCCATGTTATCTTATGGAACGTCTGTCACTAAACAACACCACTTGCGACGTTGCAAATTCTACCAGGCCGCGGCCTGTAGTTAAAGGTGGCCCAGGTGGCCGTGGCTCATAGCAGGACGCAGAGACACAAATCGGTAAACAGAAAAGGTCTGAATAAAGATAAAATATTTCAATAAAAAAATAAATAAGTAAATAAACAAGAGAAACGTGAGCTTAGGTCCAAAACATGAATCCTTTTCAGCCTGTATAAACTGGTACTGTTGTCCAATTAGTCCAGTGCAATTAGACAAAAAATGACCTTGACCCGGACAAAATTGATAACAGGCTGAAAATTGGTGGAAACGTTCAGAACAATGTCCTGAGTGGCCCACACAAAGTCCCAAGAAATCCCAGTTGGGGAACGGCCGCCATCTTGAAAAAACTGCCGCCATCTTGGAAATTTAGATTTTTTGCTGTATCTTTTGAAGTAATAGTCCGAAAGGCATTATTTATGTCTCAAATTAAGCGTTTTCAACTCATGTATGAGGGTAGTATATAATTAAAGAGTTTAATACGTTTTAAGCATAAACATTATTTATATTAACCTAAAAATATATCTATAAAAATGATACAAATTTACAAAATATTTACAAAATGAAGCTTTTTTTCTGTTGTTCTTAATTGACTTGTTAAAGCCATTAATCCTTTTGACATTTCTTGCAATTCACTATGGAATTGGTTAAATAAGGGGTGAATAAAAAGTCAAGACCCCCCCTCCTCTAATATTTTTCTAAGTAAATATACAGAAATATCCTTTTGGTGGTGTTGCAATCTTAGTAGGAAGTTTCATTTGATGATTTTGAGTGTCCCCCAAAAAGAGGGAATTTTAAAGTTAACTCAAATATTTTAAAGTAAATCCTATTCAAGTGACACATTATCTTGAAGTGTTTACAAAAACTTAAAGAATGGTGAAAACCAGTGTTCGCTATATCTTCTCTATCCAAAATGGTAGCCCATCAAAAGTTTAATGACGATATTGTTACATTAATTTTCTTGTGTAGTAAAAAGTAACTCCCCCCCCCCTCTAATTTGTTCCTAAGTAAATATTACAGAGTAATCCTTTTGGTGGTGATGCAACCTTAGCAGGAAGTTTCATTTTATGATTTTAAAATCTTTGAGTATTCTCCTCTGTCCAAAATGGTAGCCAATATTACAATTACGAACCAATATTACCATTGATTTTCCATAACGTTTGACGGGCTACCCTTTTTGATAAAGATGAAATAGCAAACTCTGGTTTTCACCATTCATAAAGTTTTTGTAAACACATTAAAATGAGATGTCACTTGAAGGGGGTTTACGTTTAAAATTTTTGAGTTGCCCCCAAAATCCCCCCTTTTTGGGGAACATTTAAAAATTTCAAAATCATAAAATGAAACTCCCTGCTAAGATTGTACGACCGCCAAAAAGGACATCTCTGTATATTCACTTAGAAAATATTATAGAAGGGGGGTATTGACTTTTTATTCACTTAAATGCTGTAATTTGTTATTTATTTATTTATTTACTAGCTGTTTGCCCGTTCTACGTACGGGAATCTTGTAGTAAGTTGAAACCTTATATTCAGAACAGGAGTTGGTTAAATCTATGGCAGGAGCAGAGCAACATCGGTAACAGGAAATATAATCTTGACTAGGAAAGCAACAATTTAATAATGAAGTACAAAATAAATGTTGAAAAAGCAATTAATAATTTTGTTCGTTCCGATATGAAAAATAGAATCATTAAGATATAATTGCTATAATTGATTACCATTATATTTTAATATTGCATATAAATATTTATGCATATATAATATTTATGTCACTACATTTTAGATTTTTTAGTGTGCTGCCAACTACTATGTTTTAAGTTAAAGTGCCTGCCACAAACCGCCGTAGAAATATAGTACAATTAAGAAATCTTTGTTCAAAAAAAGAAAAAAAAAATGTAAATTATTTGTTTGCTAGCCTTATTGTATCAATTGGACCTCACCGACAAGTTTTATAAACTTGGTGAGGCCAAGCTGTTGTAATTTTCATAATAAATATATTTGTATTTGTATTTTGTATTTGTAAACTATAATGTAACTACTCGCTGTTATACTCCGTTCAAACAGCCGTGGCACCTGACGGATTAGGAGGCCCCAAGGGTTTCCATGGGGTCTCCTAATCCGTCAGGTGCCACGGCTGTTTGAACGGAGTATAAATAATATTGTCGGTGATGTAATCTTCGTTGTAACTAGCGCGGTTGGCACATCCGTGTCCAGTGCAGTAGCCATGCACCGTGGTACAATTAAGACCATAAGGGTCATTGTACTGTATCCATACCATCTGTGAAGGTCGAGCAGCAGGGGCGATATGAAAGATCGTGGTCAAAGCTGCAGCAATAATTGCATGAGCTGTATTAGTTGTCTCCTCTTTAAAGCTTTGTCATAGTTAAATGGATATTATATTTATATCTAACCAATTCCAAAGACTAAGCATTGTGGGGTGCAAGAAAGAGAAAAAAACTTATCTTGTATATATTTTGTATATTTATATCAATTATTTTAGATGGGGACGCCACTATGTGCGTATTTTAACCAAATATGAGTGAAGGATGAGTGTAGGATGAGTGGCGCAATCTTGTAGTCTTGTTAGTGACTAAGGCCGACATGTTCCTTAGACACAGATGTTAATTAATAGCCCATATAGCTAATGGCAACTAAGGGACCTACAGTTTAAAGTGGAATCCGAACCACATTTTTTCCTTGTAATTAACGAATTGGTCTAATTATCAGGATAGTACTGCGGATAGTCATAGTACTCACTAGTGCGGACGTTAATCCACACCAAGGAGCATCGCATCCACCTTGCATGCCTATAAATATCCACAATTCGTATAAAAGGGGGGACATAACCGTTTCTATATCATTATTATAGATATTTTTTAGGTTAATATAAATAAAATTTATGCTTAGAACATAATAAACTCTTTAATTGTATATTACCCTCATACATGAGCCCAAAACGTTTAATTTGAGACATAAATAAGGTCTTTAGGACAATTACTTCAAAAGATACAGCAAAAAATCTAAATTTCCAAAATGGCAGCAGTTTTTTCAAAATGGCGGCCGTTCCCCAACTGGGATTTCTTGGGACTTTGTGTGGGCCACTCAGGACATTGTTTTGAACATTTCCACCAATTTTCAGCCTGTTATCAATTTTGTCCGGGTCATAACCTAATTGCACTGGACTAAATAGGTTAATAGCCAGGTGATTAGGGTGATTTTCAAGCTTCTTTAGATATTTTGCACTATATTTGGTTATTTCCTCTTCAACCGTTGGAATTCCACTGTCCTTGTGAAGGATATTGTTATTAACATACCACGGGGCTTGCAGGTTGAACCTTAAAACTTTTGACTGAAATCGTTGGATAATGTTTATGTTCGAAATACTGGATATGTTCCCCACAGTTGGGTTCCATAAGTCCAAATTGGCTTCAGGATTACTTTGTATAGTACTGTATAATAATTTATTTGTAATGGTCAATTTTGGTTTACTATTTAGGAGCCAGGAAAGCAGATTTTGAAATTTTAAATTTAGATACATTCTTTTGTTCCAGATGTGGTTTTTCCATGTTAATCTTTTGTCGATCGGTCATGCCGAGATATCGTGGGATTGAGGAATTTTGACATTATTTAAGGTTACAGGGGGACAAGTACTTAATCTGGTAGTGAAGGTCACATGAGTAGATTTGCTCTCATTCACTTTTATTTTCCATGTTTGCAACCATTCTTCTAAGTCATCTAGTGAATTTTGAAGACTAAGTGAAGCTACCACTGGATCAGGATGGAACACTAAAATAGCAGTATCGTCAGCAAAAGTGGCCACAGAAGTATTCACATTTTCAAGTAGATCGGCTGTAAACAGCGTATATAGTACAGGTCCGAGAACACTTCCTTGGGGAACGCCAGCTTGAATTGGGAACAATTTTGTAATGCTATCTCCAAATTTAACTCTGAAATATCTGTCGGTTAGGTATGATTTGATTGTCATATGAAATGTATGAGGAAGATTCAGTTTGAGTTTATAAAGTAAAGCTTGACTTACATCGTGGTGGGGCACACGGGAGGGACTAAGGCTAACATATCTTGTAGTGTCAGCGTTCGCCGCTAGAACCGCTAAGTTGAAATTTCTTTTTTATTTTAGCGAATTTCCCATATAGGGAATAAGTTATTACCGTAGTACTCATGGTAAGACCTGGACCCGGGACAGATTTTTTTCGTTTTGAGGTCCCTAGAGGCCAAAAACACCATCCGTTCAAATTCATATATATATATAATATATATATATGTCCGTTAGCAAGATAACTCGAGCAAAAATGATCCGATTTTGATGAAATTTGGTACAAACGTGTAAACCTACATTTATTCGAACGAGTTCGCGAACCAGAATGATCGGACCATGGGAATGGGGGTTTATGGGGGCTTTTAAGGGGTAAAAATGGGTTTTTCCCATTTTTGACCCAAAAAACATAAAATTTTGCAATTTCTTCCCAAACAATTTTGTAGAGCTTAAAAAAACAAATAATTTAGTATATTGAAGCGTTAATGAGCCTAAT